GAATAACGGGAATTGGAACAACAACAACAGGAATAACAATGGGAATAACAACAGTGGGAATAACGGGAACAGCGGGAATAACGGGAACAGTGGGAATGGGAACAACAGGAACAGCGGGAATAACGGGAACAGCCGGAATGACAACACCGGGAACAGCGGGAATGGGAACAGTGGGAATGGGAACAGCGGGAATAACAGGAACAACGGGAACAGCGGGAACAACGGGAACAGCGGGAATAACAGGAAGAACAGTGGGAATAGGAACAACGGGAACAGCGGGAATGGGAACAGCCAGAATAACAACAGTGGGAATAACAATGGGAACAGCGGGAATAACAACCGGAACAGCGGGAGTGACAACAGCGGGAATAACAACGGAAATGGGAATAACAACACTGGGAATAACGGGAATTGGAACAACAACAACAGGAATAACAACAGTGGGAATAACAACGGGAATAATAGTGGGAATAACAGCAATGGGAATAACAACAATGGGAATAGCGGGAGTAACAACAGTGGGAATAACAATGGGAACAGCGGGAATAACAGCGGGAACAGTGGGAATAATGGGAACAGCGGGAATGGGAACATTGGGAATGACAACGGGAATAATGGGAATAACAGCGGGAATAACAACAATGGGAATAACAACAGTGGGAATAACAATGGGAACAGCGGGAATAACGGGAACAGCGGGAATGACAACAATGGGAATAGCAGGAACAGCGGGAATAACCACTGGGAATAAGAACAGGAATAACAATGGGATAAATGGGAAAAATGGGATGGGAATAACGGGAATAACAATGGGAATAACAACGGGAATAACAACGGGAATTATGGGAATAACAATGGGAATAACAATGGGAATTACAGGGATAACGGGAATAGCGGGAATAGGAATTGTGGGAATAGCAGGATTGGGAATAACGGGATGGGAATACTGGGAAGGGGAATAGCGGGAATAATGAGGACAATGGGAAAAGGAATAACGGGAATGGGATGGGAAACGTGGGAATAACGGGAATAATGGGGTTGGGAATGATGGGAATACTGGGAATATCGGGAATGTTGGGATGGGAATAAGGAAAATACTGGGAAGAGGATAACGGGAATGGGAATAGTGGGAATAGCGGGAATGTGATTGGGAATGGGAATAATGGGATGGGGAATCATGGGAATATTGGGAATGGGAATAGTGGGAAAAATGGGATCGGGAATAATGGGAATAACGGGGGTGGGATTGGGAATAGCGGGAATATTGGGATTAACCGGAATAGCGGGAAAAATGGGATTGGGAATAATGGGAATGACGGGAATGGGATTGGGAATAACGGGAATAGCGGGAAAAATGGGATTGGGAATAATGGGAATAACGGGAATGGGATGGAATGGGGATAAATGGGATTGGGATTGGGAATAATGGGAATGATTGGAATTGAGTGGGATTGGAATAACAGGAATGGGATTGGGAATTCCCGGAGCTCCGGGCTGGCTCCGTTCCCAGAGGGCTCCGGGATCCCGGGAATCCTCGGGATGATCCCGGAAATCCCATCCCGGCATTCCCAAATCCCAGGAATTCCCGGGAATCCCCGATCCCGCCTGGCCCATTCCCGCTTTTCCCGCAGGATGGGAACGACTCCGACGATTTCATGTGAGGATCCCGGAGCCGCGGAATTCCCGGGAAAACGAACTCCGGCTCCGGGAACGCTCCGGGAGAACGGGAGGGAATTCCCGGGAATTCCCGGGGGAGCCAACAAAGCCTTGGATCTGCAGCCACCGCCTCTGGAATTCTTCCCTGCTGGGAAAACTTCGGGAATTTGGGGATGGGGGAGGGGTTCCGGGGATTCCTGGGAATTTCTCCCTTTGGAATCGCGATGGATTCCTGGGAGGGGGCGGGAGAATCCCTGGAGAGGGAGGGGATGGGAAAAAATGGGGAAAAAATGGGGAAAAAATAAGTGGAAAAAAGGGAAAAACCAGAAAAAAATGGGAAAAAAATTGGGAAAAAATGGGAAAAACCAGAGAAAAATGGGAAAAAAGCTGGAAGAAAACAGGGAAAAGGAAAAAATGGGAAAAAATGGGGAAAAAACTGGGAAAAAACTGGAAAAAAGGAAAAAAAAAAGGGAAAAATGGGGAAAAAAAAGGGAAAAACCAGAAAAAAATGGGAAGAAAACGGGAAAAAGGGAAAAATGGGAAAAAACAGGAAAAAATTGGGGGAAAATGGGAAAAAACGGAAAACATTGGGAAAAAATGGGAAAAGAATGGAGAAAATGGGAAAAACCAGGAAAAACTGGGAAAAAATGGAAAACCCTGGGAAAAAATGGGAAAAAACCAGAAAAAAATGGGAAAAAACCTGGAGGAAATGGGAAAAAAATGAGGAAAAAATTGGGGAAAAATGGGGTAAGTTCCCTCCGGAGCCGGGATGGTGCCGGGATTGGTGGAAATCTGGGAATATCCCAGGGAAAGGGGCCGTTCCCAGCCTGGATTCCCGCGGTTCCGGAATCCCAGGGATCGGGATTGGGATCCGGGATTGGGATCCGGGATTGGGATCCCGCATTGGGATCCCGGATTGGGATCCCGGATTGGGATCCGGGATTGGGATCCGGGATTGGGATCCGGGATTGGGATCCGGGATTGGGATCCGGGATTGGGATCCGGGATTGGGATCCAGGATTGGGATCCCGGATTGGGATCCGGGATTGGGATCCGGGATTGGGATCCCGGATTGGGATCCGGGATTGGGATCCGGGATTGGGATCCGGGATTGGGATCCGGGATTGGGATCCAGGATTGGGATCCGGGATTTTTCCGGGATCCGTGGGAGGAGGAGGTGGCTCCGGAGCCCGGGGTGGCTCCGATTTTCCGGGATTTGGGGAATTCCCACCGGGAATGTTGGGATCGGGAATGGGAATGGGGGAAATTCCCGGAGTTTTTCCCGGCCTCTTCCCGCAGCTCCGGCCTGGAACGGGCGCGGTTCCCAAATCCCAAAATCCGGGAATTCCGGGATCTCCTTCACCAAATCTGGGAATTTTGGGATCTCCTTTCCCTCAAATCCCAAAATCCGGGAATTCTGGGATTTCCTCTCCCCCAAATCCCAAAATCTGGGAATTCCGGGATCTCCCTCCCCCAAAATCTGGGAATTCCGGGATTTCCTCTCCCTCAAATCCAGGAATTCCGGGATCTCCTCTCCCCCATTCCTGAGGATCCCATCGGGACCCTCCCGGTGCTTCCAAATTCCCTCCAGATCCCCCCAAAATTCCCAAAATCCCAGTGGGATTTTCCCGACTCCATCCCTGCCAGGAGTTCCCGGTCTCAGACCCAAAAAATTCCCAAAAATCCGCCCCAAATCCCCCCCAAAATTCCCGAAAATTTTCCCAAAACTCTCAGTCCCCCCCCAATTCCCAAAAATCCCCTCAATCCTTCCCCAAATTCCTGGAATTTCCCCCAATCCCTCCCAGAATTTAAAAAAGATCCATCAAAATTCCCGAAAATCCCCCGAACTCCCAAAAACCTCTCCCAATCCCTTCCAAAAATTCCCTCAAAATCCCCCAAATCCTCCCCAGAATTCCCGGAATTTCCTTTTCCAGCGGCTCGGGATTTCGGGATCGGAGCCGCCCGCGGGAATCCCGGGATGAGGCTCCGGGAAGGGATCCCAAAATTCCGGGATTTGGGATCCGCGTTCGGCTCCTTCCCATCGGAATTCCGGGATTTGGAATTTCGGGACTCGCAGCATTCCCGGTTCCCGCCTGCTTTTCCCGATATTTAATCCCAATATTTAATCCCGGTGTTTATTCCTGATATTTTTTCTCGCCATTCCCGGTGTTTATTCCCGGTGTTTATTCCCGGTGTTTATTCCTGTCATTCCCAGTGTTTATTCCCGCTATTCCCGCTATTTTTCCCTGCCATTCCCGATATTTTTTCCCGCCATTCCCGGGGTTTATTCCCGGGGTTTATTCCTGGGACCTTCCTTGAGCCGCGGCCCAGCCGGGACCCCCCAATTCCCGAGGAATTCCCGGGATCCCGTCCCTCTGTTCCGGCCATTCCCAAAACTTTCCTGGGAGCCGGGAGAGCCCCGCTGCCCCCGGGCGGTCCCGGAATTCCCAGGATTTCCCCGAATTCCCGGGATTTCCCCGAATTCCCAGGATTTCCCCGAATTCCCGGGATTTCCCCCCCGAATTCCCGGGATTTTCCCGAATTCCCAGATCTCCCCCCCGAATTCCCGGGATTTCCCCGAATTCCCAGGATTTCCCCCCCGAATTCCCGGGCGGTCCCGGAATTCCCAGGATTTTCCCGAATTCCCAGGATT